CAGTTCCTTTTTAGCTCCTAGACATCTTTCTTTTTCTCAGTAGTGTGTTGTTTACGACATCCATAGACTTGAACTGCATCAAAAGCATGAAATTCATTAAATGGTGTTGCTATTTTGAACACTGAACATTCCTCTTGAGACATCTCCATTTCTAACCATTCCTTTACAATGTCTGATTGTTTCAGATCGTTGGAATTGAAGGTGCCAGAGAGATTGTTTTGGGAGGTGGAAATATACACTGCATTACTCAACAGCAGCCAGCAATAACTTCTGCACCTCTAAAACCAGAGTGAACCATTTAGTTTAAGCCAGCAAACACTGGGATGAAACGGTGAGAGGAACCATAGGTACATGTACCAATACCCGTTGGGACTAAAGGGGGTTTATGTCGGCGAACGCCGGGGGTTCTTTGGGGAAGTCGCTTCTGTTTTTTTTTTTTTTTTTTTTTAATTATTTATCTTACTGTGAGACTGAAAATCTTTAAACCAGTTTAAAATAAATTATATATTGCCTAATTTGTTACTTCTAAAAGTTTCTGGTTCTTCGATTTTTTTTTTTAAGCTTACTTGTGAATCCAAAATTAACGTGTTATGTTTTAAAATTTGATGAGAAATGAAAATTGAAAATAAATTCAATTTAGTTACTAAATGAAAAAAAAAAGTGTCGGTAAAGAATAATTTATTGTATAACTTTTTGGTTGAATTTAATAGATAGAGCCACACTACTTTATATAATGAATGAAATTGTGTTTCTCTTTTTAATTTTTTTAATAAATAATATTATTGCATTATTTTTGCTGGTGGGGCTGCAGAATGAATACTACCGAACTGATTTCTTGCTTTATTACCTACCTTAAAAAATTAAGTCGAAATTTGATTTGAAAATTAAACTTCCATTCAATAATTATTTGGCTTTAGTTTTAGAAAAATGCATTTATTTCCTCATTATTTATTTACCATAAATTCATGTTCTTAGATAAATTTAAATAAGTTTTTTGAAAACCACTATTGTTTTTTAAAATATATGTAAAATAAAAAATAGAGAAAATTTTATTTATAAGCTTAATTTTAAAAAATTAAATGGTTTTCATTTTTGGAATTTGAGTTAGAATTCAAAATTTACAGTAATGTGAATTAACAAATATACTTGTCAACATGTTTATAAGTCAATGTTCCAGTTTTTTTTTTTTTTTTTTTTTTTTTCATAAAACATGTTCTATTTAATTTTGTGAAAATAATACTTAAAAAAAGTACAAAATAATAGATAAAGAGTATATTGGTAAATACGTTAATGTAGTTAATTTGTAACTGTTTTTTAATATATAATAAATAAATCATCTGCGAGCTCAGACATGAATTTCAGGTCAAATCACAATACTTCGGTTCCCATGAATTCAGGAGTTCCAGATCTCACTTTGGAAATCTGAGTTCGTCATTTCTCGTTTCAGAGGCGGGAATTTTGAAACCGCGGTAAGATCTGTATGCATTCTTGAAGCTCAGATTGAAGAAGACATGGGCTGCACATTTTCTGGATTGAATGCTTTCTACGACGCCGTGAATAGCGGCGGAGATGTTTGGATCAATGAGAACAGGTTCAGGATCGTAAGGCAGCTCGGCGAAGGCGGCTTTGCTTATGTCTTCCTCGTCAAGGAGGTGCTTGCCGTTTCTTCTTCAGACGCTGTTCCTGGTGGTTTGCACAAAAAATTCAAGGACTCCACTCATCTATCTGGTTTCAACTTTCTCTGCCTCTCACGCGCTCACATTTGGCTAATTTGTTTCTTGTTTTTGGCTCTGATGAATATTTACGAAGTTCATTATCCGCGAAAATTGATCTTGTATCTCTATGGATTGGTTGATTCTAAGCCAAATAATTTAGCTATCCGTTTTCATAATCTGGGCTGATTTGCTTTTGAATCTGAATCTACATCCCTGCTTTTATTAGCGAAGTATGAAATCTGTACGGTATTTTCGGTAGTTTCTGGTTGATGTGAATGTATCGTGAAGATTTCCATTGGATGATGCCTAACAATTTTAAAGACCAAGTTCATGCTTCCTGATCATGTCGGCATTATAAGCTCGACTCTTCTTCTCATTGTTTTTACTCATCTATCTAAGTTGCAAAGAATTGTAGGCTGCTCCCTTTCTGCCCTCATCATTCAATTGCACAAGAAGGTGTATTTGTTTTTGTATTGAATTTGATGCAGCGGCTACTGACTTTTCACTAAGAAAATTGGGTCCGTTGCCTCAAATATAGGGGTGGGGATTGAAGCTTCAACATCAGGAAAAATAGTTGTTGCCTATACACTTCCACTTTCCAGGCTAATCAACCAACTTTAAACAAACTTTTGTTGCTTTTTTGCGCAGATGATGGATCGTACGCATTGAAGAAGGTGCTCATCCAGAATAATGAACAACTGGAGTTGGTGAAAGAGGAGATCCGTGTTTCATCTCTGTTTAGTCATCCCAATCTACTTCCTCTTCTTGATCATGCTATAATCGCTACTAAGGTGACCGTCAAAGCTTACGACCCACTAAAATAGATTTTATTTTTCTTTGATGAGAGAAGCAATGAATATTGTTTGGAATAATTATGATCCCGTAAGCGTTATGGTTCTATCTCCATTTTTTATGTCTGGTGGCATCTGCTGGCATGTGCACTATATGTGGATATCTATGCTATTTTATGTCTTACTCTCTATATACCTTATATATGTTTTTAAAAACAATCAAATACCAACTATTCATTGAATATTTACCATTCATTTAATTACTGGCTAGCCTAATCAAGAACGATCTTGGAACCATGAAGCATACCTACTATTTCCAGTACATTTGGATGGGACATTATTGGACAATTCAAAAACCATGCAAGCGAATAAGGAGTTCTTCTCAACATCAGATGTTTTGCAAATATTTCGACAGGTAATTAGGAATTTGGAACTTCTGATGGAATTCTTCTTCATGTAATTTCTCTTCTTTTTGGTATCATGCTTTGCTTTCTCTTACTGATTGAACTAATTGAACACAGCTATGTGCGGGTCTGAAGCACATGCACAATTTTGATCCCCCATATGCTCACAACGACATCAAGCCTGGTAATGTTCTCATAACTCATAGAAATGATCAGCCACCTCTTGCTATATTGATGGATTTTGGAAGTGCTCGACCAGCAAGAAGGCAAATTAGCAGTCGTTCAGAGGCACTGCAGTTACAGGTTTCCTATAAAGCTGTTCTTCCTTCAAGCCCTCTACAATTCCACCATATCAATTTGCGTTGCTGCCACATAAAACTTTGCAAATAAATGGGAATGTCGATTCTCTGCACTTCAGTCTAAAGTTAGAAAAAGCATACATGAGCTGATAATCATCATAATTTGCTGTGTAGGAATGGACATCTGAACATTGCAGTGCTCCTTTCCGAGCTCCTGAGTTGTGGGATTGTGAAAGCCATGCATATATAGACGAGAGAACTGATATTTGGTCGTTAGGATGCACTCTATATTCAATAATGTGAGCACCAATTCTTTATCCTGAAACATTTATCATTTTACCGATCTTTGGAATTCTATGCACGTGCAACAACTCATGGAAAATCGTGATCATTTTGCTAATCTTTGGAATTCCTCCTTTTTTTTCTCTACCTGTGATCTACACTAAAATAAATTTGGAGATGGTAGTTGGGTCAACCGAGAAGACTGTAAATCATGGATACAAGTCCCTTAGTTCAAGTCATGTTTTAGAGTGATTTATAATTTCTCTGCCATGACTCCCTATCAAACTCTCCCGAATTTTTTTCTTTCAATATCTATGATTTTCGTAATAACTTAACCATGCTTGATATTTTTATACTTAGATTTCGACTTCTGTGAACATATTCAACAATTATGACCAAATTTTGTCATTGCTCATGACTGTACGTCTGTGTATCCGTAGGTATGGGGCATCTCCATTTGAATATGTGCTCGGCGAATCTGGAGGAAGCTTACAGTTAGCAATCGTAAATGTACAAATCAAGTGGCCGGCTGGACCAACTCCTCCATATCCAGATGCTCTTCGCCAGTTTGTGAAGTGGATGCTTCAGCCACAGGCTGCAGTCCGTCCGAACATTAATGATATTATAATTCATGTTGACAAGCTTATCTCAAAGTTCTCTTATTGAGGCATAATGGAAACGAGGCAAACATCGGATCACTATTCTCATTTGAAGTTATATTACGTTGAGCTACCTGCCTTTTCATGGCTTACACCTGAAATTACTTGCTGTGGAAATAAAGCAGGAGCTGTTCCTATTCCAGTGTCAATACAGTTAATCGTCATAGTTTTGGCCATTGTCCAATGTTCTCTGACTATCCATGGGAATCATATAGTTTTAATATTTTTGTAATCTATATAACTACCGATTGTTCTTTTCTTCTAGAGCATAGTTGTAGAAAATGCACCATTGTGCCACCCACATAATTTATGTGTCTAGATGCATATATTTTTCTTCAAGAGCTTCCTGAGCCTAATAATGTTCCCTAACATTAAATTATGCTATTATATGAATGTAAATTGATTGAATGATCTTGATATATCATTCAGTTCTATAGCAGTTATTCATGCTTCAAGTTTGCACCACATTAAGTTTGGCAACAGGTCGTTGATGGATTATTGATGTACCATGTACTTGAATTTTTCTTTAATGCATTGTTGATGTGCATGTATCCCTTGAGGATTTCAGGTGTGTGTTCTTGAAGGAGAAGAAATTTGATTAAAAGCTTTGTGTATCATCTGAGAAGAATTCGAAGATACCACATGAAAGGAAGGCATCAATCCCTCGGAATTTACACCATATTGCAACAACATCAAGCGGGTAAATTATACTTGTTTTGCTTTATTCCTGCCATAGCGAAATTCTTAGAGAAATCTATGAGAAAGAAGTGTCATAAAAGAGTTAATTGCCCAACTGTTAGAACTAACTGAGCTCTTAGCCTCTTATAAGTGAAATCTTCTTCTAGTTTTGTCGATCTTTAAGATTAGTTCATCTCTCTTACTTGAAAATTAAATAGGATATTATACATAACAACATGGGACGTGGAAATTTTCATACACAGAACCTGGAAGCAAATGGTAACTGTAGTTTACAGAGAAATGTACTACATGCTTATGGGAACCCAGAAGATAACTTGTGTCAGACGAAATAGAAGTGCTGGCGCAAAGTGGCATTTGCAAGGATCCTCCATCCCTAGAAGCAGATATCTAGGCAGCAGTAGCAACACAAGCCTGCACAACTATTTTGACAACAGAGAAAACTCAAACCATAGCATAAATAGTGTCCTCTTTTTTAATTTTTTGTGGGGGGGGGGGGGGGGGGGGG